CCCGCGGGGAGGTGGGCCCCGCGGCGGGGCGCCTCGAAATAACGCCCTCCTCCCAGCCGCGCTCCCGCGCGCGGCTCAGGAGCGTGCACGCAGCAGTTTTCAAAAATGCATGTTGCTAGGTCCCGCCACGGAGCTCTAGTGAGCAAAAGCAGCCCAAGGGGGGAGGGAAAAAAAAAAAAAAGGAGCAAAAGCAAACAGAACCTTTAAAGAACAGAAAACAAGACTAAGAGATGTCACAATAGAGATGATCGTAAGCATGGAGACAGTGAGGCAAGAGATAACAAAGAGAGAGACTCGGGGAACGTGAAGCCTGGAGCAATCGGGAAAAGGTACCGACAGCGGGATCAGGAGCAGCCACGAAACCTCCGCAGATCTCGATTCCTTGGTGAAAAAGGAAAAGCACATTATACAGGCCTGTGGGTGCACGTTACGGACAGGACAAGGGAAAAAGCCTCTGGGAAAAGGCCTCCGAGGCGGGTGGCAGGCGGGGATGAGGGGGTTGCAGCCAACCCCTGTTTGAGTAGAGGTTTCCTTTCCCACGAGAACCTATGTGTCTTCGTAAAGGTTCGAGAGAGAAAAACACATAACGGTTCGCTATGGCCCCTTCCAGTCCCTTTCAGCACTGGGGCCCGAAAATTTGTCAGCCCTCCAATTCATCCACGAGACCCTAGAACAGGATTTCTGGGTTATGTCCCTTCAGCGTCTCCCCAACTTCAGGACCCTCCAGAGGCAGAATCGGCCAACCTCTCCTCGGTCACTGTGCCACCCCCAAACTTCCGGGCTCAGAGTCCCCCCCCAACTCCTGCATCTAAGTTACTGTGACACCGCGTTACTGTTTGTGCGGCTCAGCAGCCCCGGGGCCAGGCAGCTAAACTCCGAACCCTCTCGGTGTAGGGCGTCTCCCTGTTTTTCTTTCCTCGTCCTCCACTCCAATCTGGGGCCGCCCCAGCCAATCAGCAATCGCCCCACACTCAGCCGCGGCCAATCCGCAGTAGCCAGGCAACCAACCCCACACCCTCGCCGGGGGCGCACGCACGGGACCGAGCCCCGCGCCCCACCAGGGTGGATCCGGCGTCGGCCGTCCCTAGACACGGGTTGTGCGCCCCGCAGTTTCCAAGCTCCCACCCCGTCCCGACTCCCCCAAACCCAGGAGTCCGGACCCCCTGCTCCCCCACTCTCTGTTCCAGGAGTCTCAACCTCCAGCTTCCTCTTCCCTCAGAAATTGTGGCCCGGACCACCTTCCTACTCTGCAGGCGGCGAGGTCAAAACTCCTTTCCCCTAAAGGCCAAGAATAAAGAGGAGGCCCTCGTGCTTCACCTGCTCCATTAGCTCTTAATTACAGCTTAATTATCTCTCCCCTGCGAACCTTTTAACTAGGGCACCGGTGAAGCCTAACTGCAATTCGTTTCCCAGACGCCCCCGGCGAGAGCCTCCTGCTGCAAGGCCTGCTGGGAGTTGTAGGCCCTCGGGTCAAGGCCACGCTTGGGCTGGGCTGGGTTGTAAGGGGTCCCGCCCTGGCGGGACTCGTGAAGGATGGAAAATAAATGTACCGATGCCCTCCTCCTTGTGGCTGCAGATCGCTTTTATGGGCCCTCGTGGGGGTGGTTTGGCACACCGGTAAGTGGGCTTAATGTCTAGAGTTGGGGGCTACACTTGAGGGGCAAAGGGCAGAAGCTGGAATTTGGGGGAGACTGAATCTGGGGCGGGAGGGTCCTGGTCAAGGAAGCCCAAGGAGAAGTGTGGAAAATCAGGAAGGGATGACGGGGGCCTCCACCGGGGCACCCCACCTGGCCTTGCACACATACTCCAGCTCTGCTGCACCCAGGGTCACGAGCAGCTCAGTGCCTGTGCAGAAACTGGCTTCTGAGTCCCAGGCCAGGAACACTGCGGCGGCCCGCACCTGGGCTGGCTGGCCCACGGGGCCTAGGGGCTGGGAAGACACAGGGATAAAGGAGGTCAACGGGGAGCCCACGCCTGACTCCCACACCCCATACCACCTGGGTCTGGTCCCCACGCCATGGACTGTGGCCTTAGGGTCAGGCCTGGAGGCTGCCAGCTCCTCCCACAGTGAGGTCCACATGTTCCTTGGGGAGATGCTGGGAGCAGGGAGAGAGGATCAGGGGAGTCTGCGGCAAACACTTCCTCCCAGTCTGCCCAGTTCCCTCAGGGAGGCTCTCAGCCCACTTGGTGCTGCTCGCCAGCTGATGCGGACGCCATGCTGACTCTCATCCAGGGCCAAGGCTTAGGTCATGGCCGCTACTGCCCCCTACAGAAGACGGGGCCAAGGAGAAAGTTCAGTCCCGGGAAGATGAGGCTCCCCCCTTTTTTTCCCGTCCTCCTCCGGCCTCCTTCCAACCTCGGAGGTCTAGCAGGGGCATCATACTGGGGGTGCCATGCCCTCCCTGTAGGCTCCTGGGACACAACAGGCTCCATTTCTTGGTCCATGACATGTCACCGGTTGTTAACGCCTCGGAGCTGGGGGACCCAGGTAAGGTGGGAAGGAAGCAGCGAGGTACCTTGGTGGCCACATAAGGATCTGCCTGGGACTGGCCGATCGCCCAGTCCCAAGGGAATGATAACATTCCCTCGGCTCTTCCTCAGGCGGGGGAGGGCGAGCTGCAAAGAGAAGCAGCAGAGTCAGCTGGCCGAGCCCGGGGTCTCCCCAGCCCGCTGACACGCAGCCCGATGTCTGGATCAGTGGCCGTCTCCCCCAAACGTTCACTAGTTGGTCTGAGCGCCCTGCAGAATCAGCACCCAGAGCTCTAGAGCTCGCGTGCTCGGGGTCGCCCCAGACTGTCTGAGTCCCAGTGCTCACGGTGTCTGAACCCGTCTGAAAGGGGTTTCTGTCCGTGTCTCTCCTACTGTCTCCCCTTTCTCTGTCCATCTCCCCACCCCTTTCTCTGTCCTCATCCCCCTCTTTCTGGGCCTCTGTATGTTACTCAACCCTGTCTGTATAAAGATAGAAAAATGTGACATGGCTACATTTTTTTGCAAAGATGGGAGGAAGCTCTTTTATCCACAGAGGGCAGAACGGTTTCTCTGGGTTTCAGAGAGAGCCCTGTGGTCAAAATGTGATGCAGGAGGCTCTCATGAAATGCACCCCACATTCTGCCAACTTCTCCCCTAAAACCCCCCTGGTTGCCTGGAGCTCCCTAAACCAACTCAACTCTCTCTCCATCTCTCTCCCTCCCTCTCTCTCTCCCAGCCCCTTCACTTCATGATAGACCTTGAAGAAACTCAAGTTCTATTCTCCTCCCCGCTGGCTTTGGGCAGCCGAGATGGCCAGGCAAGGCCCGTTCCTACCACTAGAGATTAAATGGGCTCCCTCTCCATTCACCCCACTTTCAAGCCTCCTCCGCTCCCTCAAAACCAGCCTCCACCCTATTCTCGGTGCCGAATCTTCAAACACATCCGGAGAGCTCCAACCTCAGGACCTTTGCACTTGCTGTTCTGTCTGCCCGAAATGCTTTTCCAGAGATAGCCATGTGACTCACTCCTACAGTGACCAGCCATCCCGGTCTGGCCGGGACTGAAGGGTTTCTGGGGACCTAGGATATTGAGTCCACGGTTTCAGTGCTAAACTGAGACGGTCCTGGGTAAACGCGCCCCCTCAGCAACGTCAAATCCTATTCAAATGTCACTTTCTCAGTGGGGCCTGTCCCGATCGTCCTCTCTAAAACTGCGATCTGCGTCCCCGCGGGTCCCCATTCCCGCTTCCCGATTTCTTTTCTCTGTGGCACACACCCCCTTTTTGACAGGCCACACATATTTTAACAGGCCACACTTACTTATTCTGTCTCTCCTACCAGAATGCAAAAATCTACCGGAGACGGTTGAAATTTTTATTTGGTGTCCCCCCCAGGCTCTCAATAAACATCTTTTGAATAAACGAATGACTGAATTGAGGATCTAGTACATGCCTGGCCCTGTTCTCAGTAATTTACACAGATTAGCTCATTTAACAGACCTGGTATTTGCAACCTGGGTGGTCTGAGACCAAGATCCATAACCCAATAGGAGTTTCTGACACCGCTGGGTGTTACGGACTTTGAGATATGTGAGTGGGAGGGACCTGAGTATGTGGAGATCAGGGGGGTGGCTGGAATTCTCATTCTAATCCTCCAGCCTCCTCCTTAGGGACCCCCCATCCTCTCCTCCCGGTCACTCTCATCAGCCTTGAAACTGCCCCCTACCCTGAGGCACGCCCCGCCCCCACCCCAGCCATCTATATCTCCTTCATCTTTATTACCTCCTTCCCTCCCCACCCCCACCCCCACCCTGCAAAGCTGAGGTCCCTGAGGGCTGAGACAAGGTTCATTTGTGACCCTTATTGCAACATTGGGCACATGGCTGCCACTCCATAAACATTTGTCTCGCATTCCCTGTGGCCCCTTCCCAACCCTCCCACACATTCCTCGCCCATTGGCCATTGTCCTCTCTGCCCCCGCCCCAAGGTCACCTAGTAACTAATCAAGGACTCTGCTGGACTCTCACTGACCCGACTCTCCCCGCCCTTCCGACACCCCATCTGAGAGCCTGGCTTGGCTCAGTGTCCAGCCACCTGCCTCTGGCCTGACTCTACTTTGCCTCTACTTTGTCGGGGTTCCTGGGTCCTTCTCCCTCCCGAGCTCTGTCCGGGGAGCCCCAACTTTGTTGGTTTCCCAGCAGCATCTCCTAAGTCTCCCCCGGAGCCCCCTCCTGGTGCGCCTGACCTGCCACCCTTGGGCCTTTCTCCATCTGTGTGTCAAGTGCAGAGCTCAACCTAAAACCAGGCTCTTTTCCTGGTTCCAGGCTTCAGCCACAGACTGGGAGATCTGGGAGTCGCCCAGAGCCTCCCTCTCACCTAGTCCCTCATCCGATCCATCGCTTCCTTGCTCACATGCCTTGCATGGCTCCCTATTGCTCTTGAGACAGAGACCAGACACCTGGCAGGGCCCTCAAGGCCCCACGTGACCTGCCCCTACCACTCAGCACCCCCTTCCTCACTCCACTCGGCCCCTCGACAGCCCCCCCTCTCACCGCCAGGCCTTTTCACAGGCGTCCCCTCCGCCAGGAACACCGGTGGTCACCTCCACGTAACCATGCCAAGGACCTCGGACTCCTGTTGGTCTGACTCTCCCTCCCTTTGGACACTGGATCTGGAGAGCCGCCGCCCCGCCCCCCACCACTGTTCCTGTCTGACTTCCTCCAGGAAGCCCACCCTGACCGCTTCTCCCCTCCCCCTGCCCACACCCAGAACAAGCCAGCCTCCCTGTCACACATCTCCCAGAACCACATCTGTCTCCTATTTACAAACACACTC